ACGAACAAAAAAGAAAATCCGTTGACAACACAGGAGAAAAAACTACTGGATTATTTATATATTTTCCTATTTACATAAAGAGATATATGCGTACAATAGTTATATTATTTCGATGTATACATACGCCAATGATGAGATATAACAAATATTCTATAAAGTTAATCTTTAATAAAATCACGTTCGTAGTATAGTCGACCATGTCTTTGACTATAATTAGTATGACGGAGGTCGTAAGTTTTATTCCCGCATGGTACAAATTATTGCATTAATATCTAAGACCTTCTTCTACGTGCCCATTACCCCATCACTTGGGGTCGGCGCAGTACACCTTCTGTACTGCTGATAGGATTTAGCAAAGGTTTTACGACCGGCCGCCTGCCTGACGTCAACCCTCCTTGGAAATGCTATTGTCTCTCTTTGTCTGAATGGTATCGCGGAAGTCTTGTAATATTATGCACTTTCGATTTTTTTGTCTTTTAAAACATTTTTTTATACTATTACTTAAATTTTTAATGTTATTTTCGCATATATTTTATCAAAATAAATTTTGATTACACAATAAATTTTGTCTTTTCGGATTATTTCGCGGATTTATTTTGATTTTTGGTTCCCCACGTTTCGAATGCTTTACAGCATCCATGGTCACGGAAGAGACTGAGGTGTTACATGTCTTGAAGGTGTATTTGTACACCTTGGTGGTGTAGCTAGCCACTACACCACCGAGGCACTTATACAGTTGATACATTACTTATATAGTTGATAAACTACGCATATATAAACATATAAAATATAAATACCTATAACCGGAGTATAAACATTCGATTTCGTGTTCATCACACGAATGAATGCTCCTAGCGGGAATCGAACCCGCGGTAGCTGGCACAGCAAGTAGGATCACTACAAACTCAGCCAAACGCATCCATGATTCCTATTTAAATAAGAAAATGTGTCAATTAATCAATAACTTTATCACCAAGTCAAACTTCTCATAATTCTACGAACTAATATATTATAGAAAATAAGTTTAAGAAAGAAAAATATTAAGCAATATTTTTTCTTGCAAACAATATTTCCTTTCATTAGATATATTATTACAACAGTAACTTGTATAATAACTAGCTGTCTCTTAGACTATCATCAGCCATTATTAATTCAGGCTTCGTACCTTCGACAAATAGCGGCCCTGAATATTCATAACGGTTTTATTTTTTCCTCCACCTAATTACAAGAGTTGGTCGTTTTCCATTTTTCTCCGCAAACCTTTTGATTTGGTATCGGAATATGGATCCCGGATTTAATTAAGTTTCGTTGACGCTGGTCCGTTGAATAAAATTGCCTTTAAAATTTCAATTCTTGCGAATGTTGAGTTTTTTATTGATGCGGTTTGTTCATTTTATGCTAGATATATTGTTCGAGTTCAATGCTGTGACTGCGGAACGTGTAAATTCGTTTATTTAAATCAAAAGTTACTTTGTAAATTAAATATTTGTACACTGAATAAAGAGCTTCCATGGATTGTATGTTACATACATACATATGATTTTTTTTTTATTTCTATTATAATGGGTCATAAAGTCTAAAACAGAACATCGAATCTGTGATCTTAGTAGAAAAGTAATGTTTACTGCACCATAAGTTTCTTTACTTGTTTGTTTTCATTATTTCTTGAGCGAAATGAAGCTATGTCAGTAGCTTAAATAATTACTTTTTAGGACAAGACACTAAAAACTAAGCTTTCTGTTATAAAATCGGTTAATAATACATGGTTTGAAAGAGAAATCCCCAGGAGATGTGAGAGCGCTATATTACTTTACGCCTAAACGGTGTAGTGCTAAATTGCATAATTGGATCTTTCGCGCTGGAAATTTTAATTATGACCGAAAATTCAAATTATAAAACGCCAAGTCAGCTAGTAAGTTGTGGACGGGAGACGGGCAATATTGTAACCTATATAATATATATAGATTGAAATTTTCAATTTTCATATACTACTGTCTTGGGCTTTCGGTTAATCCTTTGTTTGTTGAGCTTTTTGATTGTTTTTTTTATTAAGATCAACTATCTTATGTCCTTATGTGCTATAAATTATTTTGTTTTGTATCGTAAGATATAAATAACAATTTAAAACTTAGACAATGTATTTTCTTGGGTGATAGGCGATTTCCTATCATAATATAATTTTTTTAATTAGTATTTTACGTTTTAAGAATTCAATAAGATCAATATTACACCTATATAAAAATGAGTGTTAAATTGTTTGTTTGTAAATGTGGTTTGACCATTTGCGCTGTAAAGGGAACAACGTCAAATTGATATTAACTTATTTTCCTAAATGATTTTTAAACATATATGTTGTATTATATATTTTTGTAATTAATTGACACTCTGATCGATTGATTTGGACGAAAAAAACGTGTTTTCTAATATAGCGCCTAAAATGCGCCATTTTGATTTTTAATTATACCTATAATATACCTTATGACACTCGTGTTTACAAGATGAATCTAACGATGTATGTATCATCAAAATCGGTTAAGTCATTTAGTAATTATGATCCCCCCAACGTGCGTTCACCTTGTCGTGGTGGGGGGGCTCAGTAGTGCCCGGCAACCCAACCGGGCGCGAAGCCAAGAAACGCACAGGGAGGTGGCCCACTTCGGTGGGCGGTGGAAGGCGGCTCTCTTCGGAGGGCGGTGTACCATGCGGGTTGCTCCTGGTACTTCTCTGATAGCAGAGTGGACCTTGGAGCAACCCCGTGGTTGTTGTGGTCTGCTTCTGCAGACCTGCCGTCGGGGCGTCGTAGTTGAATGCGTAAGCGATCCTGCGACGCCCCATTAATACGGGGGAAGGCTTTGTTGGGTTTTAGTGGGTAGTACTGGCTTTGCCGGTGAGTCCCACACGTCGTGCGTAAATGCATTTCCCAACGTTAAAAAAAAAAATAATTTAGTAATTATGATGGAACATAAGATCAGACCTACATATGTACATTGCACATACATACATATAGGTCAAAAACATAATCCTCCTTTGGGCCTCGTCGCAATCGGTTAATAATTAAAATGTAAGTGAAAATTATTATGAATAATATGTATAAGAACACGTTACAGCTATTATAATAATTAATTAATCTATAAATTAATTCTGTGAAGTAGCTAAAGTAATTGCTGTGCCACGTCCGCATTGATGAGACTTTACATCCCACGCAGTCGCCACGAATACCACACATTCTCACTAATTTTGTGTAAATCGATACCTTTACATTACTGAATGCTACAAACTATTTTGAATGTTTTAAATTTGCAAATTTTAGTATAATCGGACTATTATTATATATGCGAAAGTTCGTTTTTCTGTATGTTTGTTTCTCCTATTTGGAACGTATGGAAGGATTTGGTTGTTTACTGCATAATATAATGATGGTCTCCTGACCGATTCCGGCCACGGCGGCCAATCTTATTGAGACTAGCCAACTGCGCAGGAGATATTATAGTGCATAAGTGTACGCGGAGACACAACGTGTACTTTGTTATATAAAGGTAATTACTAAGAATAAAAGGTAAGAAGTAAGAAAATATTAGGTAATTACTAAGTTTCTTATTGATAATTAATTATAGCTTTCATAATTTAAGTTATTATTTGATAAATTCTATTAGTTATTTATTTATTGAATATGATTTTTTACATTGAGATATTTTAATAAATAATGCAGTCTTTATTTTTATCTCTGGCGATGTACGTAGTGTATGCGGGATACACATTTCATTTCGGTATCATTTAATCATAGTTGTATCTTGTGTACCTATAAAGTACATCTAGATTACCCTTAAAACTGTCCCAGACAGTATTCCAGAATAAATAATGTAAGAGTTTCATTTAATATTAATGTCATAATATAAAAAAACTTTTAATTATATTAAAACGTACGTCTGAAAAACTGAAGATAGTCTGTCAACTTTGTATTCTACGTACAGCGCGTCTGCTTTCAGAATATATACAAAAATATTCTAAGATATAAGCTAAGCTTCATTTTAAAGTTCTCAACGCCACCTCGTCGGATCGCGTCGATCAATCAAAATTATATTACCAATAAATCTACGGAAACTCATGTTGGAAAGGAGTATTTATACTTTGCGATACACTCGCGATGAAAAGGTTAGTAATACGACCATATGTAAACAAGATTGCGAACTGTTTATAAACTTTATTCACTTCAAACATCTCGATCGTTATCACTGTATATGTTAAAACTTTAGTTAAACTATAAAACTTATATGTATTTATTAACTAACTAGCATTGCCCGCGGCTCCGCCCCCGTTCAGATGACCAAAAACCAAATTCTTAGGTTTTACATGTTAGTTTACTCTTACATTGCAGTCTTTGTATTTTTTCTTAGAAATGAGATATTTCTATATTCAGCTATCATTAAACTAAATTTCATCAAAATCCCTGCAGTGGTTTTTCTGTGATGTGGTAACAGACGGACAGACAGACAAAAATTCTAAAAACTATAGATTCGGCCTCTGTATCGATAATAACGTTTATGTCAATAAGATTTTCCAATCAATTTTATTTGATGTATGTATAGACTAATATTATGTTTAACTAATTAGATCCATCAATTGAATAAAGAAAAGGATAACTTACAACAAAAATGGGATTCGACGTAAATATTGATTTGTCAATCACTTCAGATTCAGTCTCATTAATTGAAACACAATATCAATATATTACGTACAAGTACTTAGAAGCGTCCATAAGAAGCCTTTTGTAGACTTAAATCCCATAAGAACTATTTAAAGCACTGGGATACGAACCAATAAGTACCAATAATTATATATCTATATATGTAGATATTATCGTCTTTTTAATACTTAAAATTTATCGATAAACCAACAAACAGATTAGTTTTCGTTCTTATTTTTTATAGTAAGTAACCAAGTAAGGTGTTCTGTATCCCAATATTTTTATATATTAACTGCCTCGGTGGTGTTGTGGCTTACATGTATGGCTGCACAACCGGAGGTCCTGGGTAAGAGTCCCGGGTCGGTTTAAGTTGAGTTATTGAGTCTTTCAGTTTAGTAAGCCGGAGTTGGGAAGTTAGCGGCGTATCACCCCCGTGCCTCGGAGAGCACGTGTCGTGTCGGTCTTGCGCCTTAACTCCACCGGTCGCGTCGAGTAGTAGTCCCACGCCTACCGGAGTATGAGAGTGACAGTAATAGAGTGTACGTGTGTCTGCGCGCAAAAATATCTCCATATCTCCTGCGCAGATGGCTAGTCTCAATGAGATTAGTCGCCGTGGTCGAAATCGATCGGGAGGACATTATTATTATTATTTTTTATATTTATCAATTTAAAGCCTTTAAACCTCTTAAGAGTAATCTTGAATTTAACTGAAGAACATAAAGAAATCGTGTCGCATTCGTCACATACAATATCTATTGCATGGAAACTTTTGCCATACACTGATTGCTTCATAATAATTTATAGACTGTAATCTGCGGGCCATCGAGCGTGGTATATTACTCATCGTCGGCCGACTCGATTCACGGCTCATGTATTCGCTATCGTGTATTAATCTTGCTAATATTAAAAGGGATTGTCTCGTTATATTGGCGATGTTTTGATGTGTTTATTTTGATTGAATTGAGTTGATAATATAGTTAGGGAATGTAGAGTGTGTTGAAAGGATATTATCTATATTTTTTTAGAAATTATAGTTGAAATGAAAATAATTAAGAAAAGAGTACAGTAGAGTGAATAATAAAAGATTTTGATAGTAGGTTATACTTTTAATGAAAATGTATATATGTTCACTTTATATACATATTATATATATGTGTGTGTGTGTGTGTGGTATAACTGATTTATTAAGAAAAGAATAATTAAAATCGGTTAGCAAATTATGAAGCTATCATAAACACCAAGTACCTCTGTAATTGACGTGGGTCAAAAAAGGTCAAGCATCTATATTCAATTTAGAAGGATTATTATAAATAAATTCGTACATACGAAGATTTTCTATCGTTAATTAAATCTGTAGTCTATGCGTAATAATGATAATCATGAAGACCCTTTTAGTTTTCCATATTTCCATAGTCATCTTTGGGAAATTCCATATAGGTTACTCAGAGATGGATCCCGGCTGATGTGTCACATTAAACAAACTTGAATCTTTTAACGAGTCTCTACGTGTTGAACTTGTGCCCCAAGCAAGCCTTTCAAAGGACCGAGCTCCTTGGAGCCCGTAAAATACAAAGAGATACAAATAATAATAATATGAAAACGAATCCTATAAGCTATACTTTGATCGCGCCATACTGACAAATAAAATTGTATAATAAAATAGGCTAGATAATACATTAGTAGATAAATTAAACAACATTATTATAGACATTGTTTGCTGAACACTATTTTTCACCACTAGTTACACTTTCACTGTTACTTTACTCCACTTTTATACACTTTCCCACTTTTTTGTATGTCTTCTAAGTCTTCTCTTAGCTCCAAAATTCAAATGATTTCTCAACACACAGCCGGCCTTTTTTATGTATTAACAAAGAACCTCTTAATATTCGATAATAATAACCTTTTCTAGTAATTTCAATTCCTTTCTGGAAAACGTTTTGTTCCTATCTTACACAAGGCAATTTACAATTAACTGTCCTTATCTGTTAGTTGTCATGTGTTGACATCTGTCTTAGGATGTATAAAAGATGCTTTGGACGTGCCTTTTTAGTTATTATTATTTTTGGCGTAATGACGTTACACATTCTCCACTGCGCGACAATAATATGTTCAGAATATAAAAAAAAACTATAAAAGTTTGATTATATGTTTCGGAAACTTCTTAGGTTTTCTTACATATGAAGGTTTCCTCACGATCTTTTCACTGTAACACAAGTGGTGATCATGTTGAAAAATAAATTATCCACTTATTGGGCTAATATTATAAATTTGAAAATTTATATATGTGTCTGTCTGTTACTCCTCTACGCTGTAACGGCTGGACAGATGTGGATGAAATTTAGTATACAAAATGGAGTAATACATATATTAGGTACTAATAATAATAAAATTTCCAAAGATGGCGCTGTCTGTATGTAACATCAAGCACCTGGACGCAAAACAGCGTAGCGAAGGTAAATCTCTAGTATTGCAATAATTCAATCATTTTTATGCTAAAAATGTTAATAAGCTAATAACTTTTAAAGGTTTAAAGTTGCCTGGCCGAAGAGACATGATCTATAAAGGTGTATCGCAATCAATGTAAGTGCTTGCAATCAAGCGATCGTTAAAATTTGCAGTTAAGTAATTAAGTAAATGCACTGCTCCAATGAATCCGTGGACAATTAATTTTGAAGCGGTTATCCAATTTATTTTGTTAAAAGTTATGCTTCGTGTGCGGTGAAAGCGCAATATTCCTCATCGACTATGAACATTTTCAATGAAAATTGAACGGACCAAATAAATTGTCTTAGAACATCATTATATGTATTTTTAAAGTCATATAATGTTTTACATAGAGATTTTACATGACATTTTCTAAAATGTTACAAGAAAAATAAGTTCAACTTATATTTATATACAACAAAACTAAAAAATACTAGAGATGTAATGTTTTGTGTATATTTTTAGAACAGCGTGATTATTAGTGTGTATTAATTAGTACGAAAACTATATATTATTAATGCAATATTTTACTGAGCCCCAGTAAGGATGGCCTGTAAGAGGACCGAAGAAAACTCTAAATGATTATTAAATCAGTTTCATCATTAATTTGTTACTTTCTACTACTAGATATTATAAAATTAAACTTTGTAGAGGAAGTTTTTTCTTTGAGCCGTGGGCATTCCTTTATAGTGAAGTATCAGGCCTTAGTCTACGATGCTGGTCAAGTGCGGGTTGGCGGGCCTCACATGTCTTTCGAAAATCTCGGTTTTCTCAGACATGTAGGTTTCCTCCCGATGTTTCCTGTTTTCCTTCGCCGTAAAGCAAGTAGTATCCATGTTGAAAATGATTCGCACATTAGAATGTAAGAGATTTTATATTTATTAATATTAGAATTTATTTATAAATGATATGAATCTGAATGTTTATAAATAAAGTTAACTCATGATTATTTAAAGACTAACGTAAAATTAAGAAAAAAACAATCCATTACGTTAATATCATTAATATAAGTATTTTTAAAATATAATTGAACAATATATTAGTAAAATAATAATAAGAAAAAAATAAGAAAGATAATAAAAATAGCAAATATGACAGTGGTTATAACCTCTAAGTTCGTTAGAAAAAGCATGGGTTCGTTGTAGAAAATGCATCATTTCATATTCACCCGACGAAGGGGCAGAGGTTTAACGAGAGAATTAGAATTTTTACATTGTAATGGGCGCTGCAGTGAAAAAAGTCGGGATTAAAAGCTAAAATTGAGCCGAGCGAAAAGCTCACTGGGAGAAAAATATTATGAAATTCTAGAACAAAGGCTAATATAATTATGAGAGTTGCCTCTAAAGGTATACATTGGAGTAACGGCATTATCATCATTATTAGCGGTCTTTCAGAAAATATACGTATATTTTTAAACAAATATACTATTATGTTGATGTGTTTTGTTTAAATATTTTAAGATTCTTATATTTAAAAATATTTTTTAGAATTGTACTTCTATAAAGTCACTAGCGACTCACTCTCGCTTTGCTCGGTTCGTCCCTAGGTTGATTCCCCATACAAACTTTCATCCCTATTTTCACCTCCTTAAGGTATGATTTTCGGGATAAAAAGTATTCTATGTCCTTCCCAAGGTCTCAAATTATCTTCTTACCAAATTTCTTCTTAATCGGTTCAGTAGGTCCAGAGATTATCCCCTACAACGTCATAAACTCACAAATATTAGTATAGATAGATATGTAAGTTAGTAGGAAGAAAGAAAGGAAAAAATATTATGAAAATATCGAGATTAGGTTATTTTGGTATTATTTTACCAGGATTAAGTCAAAAATCTAAACATATTTTGTATAAAAAATTACTTCACGCGGAAATCAAACCTATAATATCAACTCTAACATACTTATTGATACTATAAACAATAAGATGCCATTTCGCAAAAACTGTACTAAAATCGGATATTCAGAAGTCTGATTATCATAATTATTATACATTAATTTTCTAGTTAGAGCAACTGCGAATAATATTGAGAATGGACATTGGATAAGCGGAGATCAACCTTATAGATTTTGCATTACAATCCAGCCCCATGACAACGTAACTACATACAACACGTTATGTGGCAATGTATGGCGTCCGTGTGTCGACTCGCATCGCGCTGTCAGTCGTGTTAATTAAACGTTTTTACCAAGGATATCATTTAACTGAATATGCCTCTTTAATTTTTTTGATACTTTTCTATTAGGACACACTAAATAAATACTTCGAAGAGATTAGCAATGCTTATGTATGGATACAACAAAGTTCCCTGACTGATGTTCAGCAAAATAATTGAATCCTCTTATTGGCTTCTTTTTTCAAGTTGTTTCTATTAAGTTGGTACACTGGCATATAGTTATGCAGAACCACGGTATCACATATAGCAAATATGTTAAGAAATCTTTTTATTATCAACAAAATTCAGCTACGTTTGTGGTAAACAACTTAATAGAAAATTTCAACAAAACGTATTTTTATAAACCCAATCCACAAAATACGTTATATGACATATTTTCAATATAACTCTTAGCATTTTTTTATTAGCACAAAACATACTTTGGTTCCATTTTTTGGTTTGGTTTGGTGGTTGGTGAAGTCCGCCAACCCGCACTTGGCCAGCGTGGTGGACTATGGCCTGATCTCCCTCGTATTGAAGGGAGGCCTGTGCCCAGCAGTGGGACGTTAAAAAGGGCTGAATACATACAAACTTTGGTTCTAAAGTTAATCCTTAAGTACAATAAACGCTCAAGGGTGTTTAATCGAATAGTTGGCATATCCAACTTTAGGTTCTATGCGAATTTATCTTACATTAAATATGTAATTGATGGCACGTTTGGCTCAGTTTATAAAAGCTGTCACGGGTTTGAGTCCCGCTGGGGTATTCATTTGTGTGATCAGCACGAATGTTTGTACTCCAGCCATGGGTGTTTATATTTATATATGTATGTATTTAAGGATATATATATATGTGTAGTATACCAACTATCTGGTATCCATAACACAAGCCTCATAGCTTATCATGGAACTAGATATTGCTGTGGGTTAGTA